AGACAGAGCCAAAGTATGTATGGAGTTCCTCAGCCATTTCTTTGTCCTATATTATACATTCTCCCTACTTCCGTCTGTAGGGGACCTACATATGTCTTCACCAATCTCTTTCTCTTTGTGTACCTATAGGAATTTTTGGCGGCTGTCTTTTTTGTTCCCTGCAAGCTTGCTTTCGTACTCTATTTTCTTAATCAATCCCTTGGTCCTTCTTTGCTGAATTCTAAACTGCTCCGAGTCCTCAGATTTATTATTTTTCTTGGCCAAAATATGCTTCTTTCTTGGATTGGATACTATCCCTAATTTCCTTTGTGAGCCATGGATTGGCCCTCTTATCCATTTTGCTTTTGTGCCAGACAGGAATAAACAGTTGCTGCAGTTCCTCCATGTGTCCCTTGAATGTTTGTAACTGCCTATTCACTGTCATCAATTAAAGTAAGTCTCCCCAATCTATCAAGGCCAATTCATGCCTCATATCTTCATAGTTTCCTTTATTAAGGTTCAGCACCCTAGTCTCCAAATCAGCTACCTCACCCTCCAGCTTGGTTGAAAAATTCTATCATGTATTGGTCGCTCTTCCCCAAGGGGTCTTGCACAGCTAGATTGACAATGATTCCCTTCTCATTACACAGCACCCAGTCTAAGATGGCCTGGTCTCTAGTTGGTTCCTCCACATACTGGTCACGAAAACAATCCCGTATACACTCCAGGAATTGCTCCTCTGCCGCAGTGTGGCTAATTTGATTTGCCCAATTTATGTGCAGACTAAAATCGTTGATGGTTTTGTGCTTAGCATTTGAACATTAATTTCAGAGTTCTTTAAAATTCAAATTCCACCACCTGCCAAATTGTTTTTTAAACTGAAAATAAATCTCACTATGCCTACAGTGAAAGTTTAAGCCCTCTCAAGTGTCCACATCAAACACACACACGACAGGGAGAGTACGGTATTAGGTGTACAGCTACCTGAACAGTCTCCCTGCGCCTCTTGGCATCCAGTGGATGTTATTACACATTCTGTTCGCCACCTTGACAACCTCATGGCTTTTTCCACCAACATCCACAGGCCTTTCATTTGGACATAACCGATCTTTGGTCAGGCTGTGGGACACTCGGGACATTTTTTTACAAAGGGGTTGCTGTGGAAACGTAGGCTGTTCAATTCATAATGTCAGGTTTTATTCTGCAGTTCCGCACCCTGGGATATTAAAAGATCAAAAACTACACATTCTTTAATATGTAAAACATGTCAAGACATCTGAGGTGCCAGCAAACATTCAAACAAACAGTCACATTAATCAAAAAAACACACGCCATAAACATTAACACTTCTCAACATCTCAATCACTTCTCTTTTGTATTTCGAGATGTCAGCCCCGAAGGTACTATCTCCTGTGAGGTTTGGGAGTGCATCAGTTATGGGACTTGGTCACAGCTTATTCAGGGGTGCAAGCTGCTGTGACAACATGCACTTTTATAGCTGTGTTGTAACCTGGAGCTATCATTAGCGATGGCAGAAGCTCCAACCCCTCTCCAGTACACGGCTTGCTGTCTTGGCGATGGCTCAGAACCTGAATTACTTACAGCATTTTGCACTTTCAATACCAACACGTGTTTTTTTTTTAAAAAAAAAGACTATTGCGAAAATAAAAGAAGTGACCCTGGATGTAAATTCAGTGATGCTCCACCAGAGTGCTGTGCATGGAATCTCACACTAGGAAAGGTTCAATGGAAAAAATTTTTAAAAAAAGAGGTAACAAGAGGCTGACTACCAAACAGCATCCCGACAGAAGACGATCTCCATCTGTCATCCAACTAATCCCAAGTCGACCCCTCTTTCTGCTGCCCTCCACTTTGACCGCTCAAAGAGATCTCTGTAGATTTCGGCTCTGATCAATTGGCCAAAAACGTCTTGTTTTTTTTTAAGAAATCATTTCTTTTTTAAAATCACTTTTGCGATTGTTATTGCAAATACCTCTTCATTGGTGTTATGGGGATATTGGAAAAAACAGATTAAAAAGGAGCTTCGGATGTGTTCACAGCCCTTGGAGCAGACAACTTCAGCTTTGAGAGCAGCCATTAAACACTCTTGTACTGCAGGTAAAGATAAAAGATACAACATCACTCAAGTGTTGCCAACCAGTCACCATTGAAAGGAATCAAAGAAGAAATGAACTAAGCTTAGACTTTCTCAGCTTCAAATAACCCCTTCAGGGCTTTAAGCAAACACGTCTGGTTTATTTACAAGAAAAAAGAATCAAACAACAAAAGCTATCAAATGAGACAGATTTGGACAGTTTCAAATCAAGGTTGGCAGTACTACAGACTGTGTGAGCTCAGTTTAGACCTCTCACCTCGATACAGGCTGATCCAAAATAGCCTTAAGGAGGAAAGATGTTTTTCATTTCTGGAATTTCTTATCCTGGAGAAAGAATGAGAGGCGCGAGAGGCAGCAGAGGAGATTCATCACACCGGCAGCAGAGGGGACAGATTTCAGGGGCAGGCTTAGTTTGGCGGAGCCAGGGTCTGCTCTCCTGGGAGTGAAGCTGACGGAGAGCAGTCCAGGTAGAAGTGTACAAAACAACACGTACAAAAAGGTGTGGACAAAGGAAAGCTGCTCTTGTTAGGAAGGACTGGGGAAGGCAGAGATTTCAGGCTTTTAGGAAAAAGGCAAAGGGAGGGGATGTGAAGAAAAATGAGCAGGAGCTCTCTGCCTATGAAAGGTGGGGGAAGCAGAGATGATGAATGATTTCAAAAGGAAGTTGAATAGACACACAACGGAAATAAACTTGCAAGGTAACGTGGTTCAAGCAAGAACAGGATTAACTGGATCATTTTACACAGAGCTAGAATGAACTCAATGGACTGAGTGGCCTCCCTCATTGCCACAATAACTTTCTGTTTCCTCATGCACGCTCAGCCAGCACTGTTGTCTGACAGATCTGATGCTATGATGCTGGAGTCTCTGCCCCTCAGTCTTCAGCCCCACTGCCCTCCCTCCAGCTTCATTGTCCAACAGGAGACGGGCTTCGAGCCACTATAGCTGAGGGACCACTACGTATGGCTGGTGAGGCACCATTTTCTGCTTTTCATTGCATACGTACACCCATCGCGGTTTGACAAAGGCCAGGTTTGAATTCTCCATCAGAGCCTGAGAGAGAAGGGGTTAAATCACATTATCCATTTGGAGGTAAGGTACAAGTCACGCATTTCCTAAATACCTTCAGACGGTCAGTACTGAGGGAGGGTCGCACTTTGTTATTGTCATAAAGAAAGCAACAGCGAATCATGGGAATGCCTGCTTGCCAACCAACCAACCAATCAGCACCCTTTACTCCTGAAGTACAATTTGTTGCAATCTCAGGATATTTAGAAGTCTTGCATCTGTCTTGATTAATGCCAAACTGAAAACTTCCACAATATAGGGTCTGCAGGGTAGATTGATCTTAGTAGGATAATAGGTCGGCACAACATCGTGGGCCAAAGGGCCTGTACCGTGCTGTACTGTTCTGCGTTCTAATGTGTCTCCGTTCTCAGCAACAGACTCATTCTGTACGGCCAAGCAACAAGCAGAAATATACTTTAGATAGGCACAGTCTGTGACTTGCATCTGTTTGTAAAAGGGTGTACCAAGTTTGGAAAGCAGCGAAGGAACTGCATGTGGAGTACCAGGTTCTTTGGGCTGAACTCTCAATGCTACGTTCACCGCTTTCTGTTCGAAGACCTGAAACAGGCCACCGATCCCCACCTCCCCACTGTCTCACCTCATCAAATCTGTCGTCCCACTCCTCAGCAGTGATCACGTAGTTTACAGAGTCGTTCATGTACTCCTCCAGGGCCCTGCACGAGGAGGCAAAAGGGAAATATGCGTGTGACAGGAGGCAGCAGGTAGTGTGGAATTAGACTGGAGCAGTGGCAGCTCAGCTGTCACCTCCATGTTGCTGATGGGGCTTGCGCGAGAGGGGCCTCCATCTAGAAAACACAAAATAGGGGCGAAAGGAGACCATTCGGCCCATCAAGCCTGCTCCGCCATTCAGTGCGAACATGGCCGATCCTGAACTTTACCCTCCTTTTCCCATATTCAGTTCCCAGAGACACCCCATGGGGCGATCTCCCTCAAAATAAACCAAGTCTAGAGAGGTTTTGATGGGTTTGTACGTGTTCCCAACTGGCTGGGGAGTCTAGACTACAGCCTGGACAGGAAGTCTCGGGGGTTGGGGGGAGCAGTTTTGCACACTGGAGTCACGCAAACTCGTCTTAAAACGGCGTGGCGCTGGGAATGAGTTGAGAGACCAGCGACATACTGAGTCCTGAGAGTGAGTGACAGAGCGAGAGAGAGAGAGACAGCAAGTCAGGGGCTGTAGCCCTGGCTGTGAGCAGTTGCTGCCCTTGAGCGAGCAGACTTCGCTTCCCACAGTCCAACAGTATGACTCACCCGTTGAAGGCGGTGATGTAGCGGCTCAACATCCGGTGCTCACCATCAGGGAACTCACCGTACAGGAGGAAGTGCTTCCCGAGAAAGAGATCTGTTGAAAATAAAACAGGTAACAGTTACACACAGGGAGATGGGAAGGCCATCAATGCTGCTTTCATTTCTCACGGGAAGTGGATGCATTTATTTCAGAAGTGGGCTGTTAAAATTGCTCAATAACACAGGAGACATCTCCAAACTCATTGCACCTACAGTGGTGCTAAAGGCCCACATCGTATTGGGTGTTTGATGGATTTGTCTGGATTCAAACTCACCAACATCAATAATGGCTTACTGTCCATTATAGCTCACTGAAGCTTAGAGTGCAGGAGGCAACCCATTCTGTCGACAAAGATCTGACTACGTTAATTCCATTTTCAGAGTTTCTAGCCTACAGTCCCGGAGGCTACAGCAATGCAAGTGAGTATCTCGATGCTGCTTCAATGTTAGGAGAGTTTCTGACCGTTTCAGGCACTGAATTCCAGACTTCCACCTGCCTCTGGACGGGAATATTTCTCAACTCTCCCCTTCAGCTTTTGGCTTAAATCTACACCCCTCCCCTGTCAACTGAGTCCTCTGCGAATGAAGAAGGTGTCTCGCTGCCCACCCCACTTAGCACTGGGATGAGGGGCAGGGCTCACCTGGCAGTTCGGGGATGGGGAGATCAACATCTCCAGAGACACTCTCCTCCACGTCTGTATTTTCATCGGTCGAGCCAGCGTAAGGATCGACCTCTTCCTTGGTGGCCCGCAGCTGCTTCTGATGGTACTCCTGGACTCTGAACAGAGAAGCCAGTCACAAGAGATCAGGGCCTGCACTCGTTGAAAGAACAGCAGCTCACACATGCAGGAACAACACACAGTCTGAAAAAGATCCTGCGTGTGTGTGATAGAAGCAGCCCACTGTAGATCACACGGAGTGATATGTCATAAGTAGAAACCTGGAACAGAGCCCTCGCAGGGAATATCTGGGACAGCTGACTCATAGCTCCAGCAAAATGCTACTTTTTATTTTAAATGGAGCATCTTAAAAAGGAATATGAGAGAGAGGGATTTTCAAATTCTTCCCATTGGGTAGGGGCAGTGCTGGCAGGGCCAACACTTATTGTCCATCCTCCTACTGCATGTGGAGAAGGTGGTGCTGAGCCGTCTGCTGCAATCCACAGGGGGGTCAGGGCACTCGTAGTGCTATTAGGGACGGGCAGGTTAGAGAAGAGATTTATAGGCTTTAGGACACGAGGGGCTGAGTGTACAGCTGTAACCAGGGCAGTGAACACACAGAGGGGAGCTGCAAGAGGCAAGAATTGGAGGAACGAATATCCTTCTGAGGGGTGTAGGGGCCAGATGTGGTTACAGAGATAGAGAGGGGTGTAGGGGCCAGATGTGGTTACAGAGATAGGGAGAGGGTGTAGGGGCTGGAGGAGGTTACAGAGATAGGGAAGGGGGTGTAGGGGCTGGAGGAGGTTACAGAGATAGGGA